AAAGATGATTCTTTAGTAGAATACAGACGACCGAAGTTCCTAAAATTCAACAGAGATGTTTCCTCAGTAGAATACGGACGACCGGAGTTCCCAAAATTCAACAGAGATGTTTCCTCAGTAGAATACAGACAACCGAAGTTCCTAAAATTCAACAGAGATGATTCCTCAGTAGAATACGGACGACCGAAGTTCCTAAAGTTCAAACAGATATGACTCACCAGCAGAATAACGGACGACCGAAGCTCCTAAAGTTCTACTTCTCTCAACAAAGATCAGCCTTCCCTAGCGGAATCTTCCTCAACGACAAGTATACAAGCTCTCGCTAAGGAATCTCTTATGCGATCGACACTCCTTCAGATGGCATATTTAAGCCCATCTCCTATCATCAGTCTCCAAATGGAATCATTAAACCCATTCCAGACATCACAAGACAATTACCACTTTATGCGAGTGCAAATTTCTGGGCACTATAGTGTTCAATCATCTTCCACCTTCAGATCACGAAAGGCAGACAAGCCAATCTAAAACTTCAGGTTTAAGAAAATTGAACAGGGGCAGCTGTTGTACCACAAAATTTTCCCTCCCATATATCTCAAAAACATTTCAAGAAAGATCCCCAAGTTGCTCAAGGTACTCCAAGGGTTGGCCAGACAAGCTCTCTCCTAAGGCAGTCTACCTCAAATTAAGGTTTCATGTTGCATCAAGATACTTGAGTCCAAGGGATCCCAAATTCTCACCAATGTCTTAATATGTTATCAAGATCATCCATGTCAAGTTTCAAGCCTTGCAGAGGAAGTTTGCTCAGTCAATTGCTCAAAAGCCTGAAAATCGACTATGCTAGGGCAAAAGTCAACTATGGCCCACATACAGTCAAACTTCAATATTTTTAGTAAACATTCTCATTTTTAAGGATATTTAATCATTTGATCAAGGGTTGATCATGATTCATCAAGGATTGCTCATAATTCATCAAGACTCAAAAGTTGCTAAATTAGGGTTTTGTAGTAAAAGTCAACTCAACTTTGACCAAGCATAACTTTCTCATACTTTATGAGAAATGACCCATCCAAAGATCATTTTGAATAGGATGCAATTCTCTACAATTCTTCTTCAGCTCCCAAGTTCAAAATATGCACTCACAAGAAGTTATGAATTTGGACATTATAGGTCATTTTGAAAAGTCAACCAAAACACCTTTTTTGTCAAAACTTCATACATGAGCATGGAATATCAAATTGAGATGATACCAAAAGAGTTGCTTAGAGGACATCTCAATATTTAGAAAAAGTCCAAGAACACCTTCAAAGAGTCAAGATTGAGGAAGTTATGCATTGGTGAAGTTGACCCTTTTTGTAAAATTGCCAAAAGTCAACTATGCCTAAAACTTCAAATTTTGCCAAATGGGCCCAATCTTTTTCACTTGTTTTGAGTTGACAACATAGCCCACGAGTCCTAGCCCTTGCCACTTGTCACTATCATGTTTTTATTATTTATTTTGATTTTTATTTGAATTAAATCAATTTTAATAAAAATAAATCATGAGAAAATCTAAAGCATTGAAAACTCAAGATTTTATACTTGTTTCAGGTCACAAATCAAGTTGGCAAGTATTTGAAATCGTGAAAGGCATCAGGGTGGACAAAAAGTTTGATTTTAGGCCAATTTTGGAATGATATTCAAGAGAATCAAATCAAAATCAAATTCATTATTGGAGAAAGATTGAGATCAATTTTGGAACCCTAATCTATTCCTTGATACATATAGAACGTGTGCAGACCCAAAAACTAGACAAAAGGAGGCGCAACATCTAGAACAGAACTTGAAAAAATTAAGAAAAAGTGCAAACACGATTTCATTGTTCTAGGCCAATTCAAGACTCTTTGCCCATTCCAATCAATTCCTGGGAGTGTAGGCAAGCAGAAGCAATCAAGAACAAAGCCTTTCTAGTACCAAAAAGCGCTGTAAGTCATCCACGACATCCATGAATTTTTGAATTCGGTTTGCACGATTTAGGCATTGTTAGCATGAATTAACCATATATTATTGATCCATAGAACATTTGCAAGCTCTCTGTATTCTTTAATTGTGTTTTCATAGCTTGTATGAAGTTTCACCATTATTAGGGTTTACAAGCTCGATTTGGGATTTCTGTGTGCAAGCAAAATTAGGCCATGAAAGGGCCATCATTGAACTCAACAAGTCCAGACGAAGCTATTCATGGCTTTAGTTTTGATTTATCTTACCCATGCTTGATTTTGAGAAATGACAGGGATATAGCGACGGACATATGTTCGTAGGTAAAAGTTTCCAACTTTTACCAACGAAGCAAGGTTAGGGATAACCTGTGAGGCATCTCTCCATTGGCCTATTCAAACCTTTGGCGCGCATTTTTTTATTATTTTCCATTAAATCTTTGTTTTGTATATTATTATTATTTCTTATCTTATGTACAACAAAAAGCAAATGGCGCAGTGGAAGTGGAGTGCATACAAAACGCATCAGGACCTGGGTTCGAATCCCAAGTCCCCCAATTTCTCTATATTATTTTTCTTTCCAGGTTCCAGCGCGCACATGAAGCTAATGACCACCATGCTCCCTCAAGATCCAGTCTGCCAAGTGGCCAGATGGCCAAATCCAAAGGTCATCCATGAAGGAGCACCACGGAGCCTAGTCAACGCAATGCACTGGATTCAAGAAGTCAATAATGGATCAAATCTTTTGGGCCAAAAGCTTGCTATCTGCACCCCTCTGATTTACTTTCAGGCCCATTTTTCTTCACCTTTCTTTTTTATTTTGCTTAATTAATTTATTTATTTTATTTACTAACAAATAATTATTTTCTTTTTATCAAAAATCACAAAAAATATTACTTTTCATAAATTAGGTCTAGATTTTATTTTTATTAAAAAATTAGTTAATTTAATTAGATTTTAATTTTAGACAACTTTAATTCTTTTTGCACATAATTAAAATTAATTAGAACAAATAGGTTTTATTTTTAATTATATTTTCTTTTTTTCTAAAAATAACAAAAACACAAAAATAGGCCTTGTCATTATTTTCATTAATTAATTAATTAAATAATTAATTTTTGTATTTATTTTAGAAAACTTAATTCTTTTATTAAAAACAACAAAAACATTTTCTCTTTTAATTAGGATAGAAGGGTCAAAACCCTAGTTCACATTCGTTCTAATTTTCACCGCGCGCTTTATTTTATTATTTTTACCCTATTATTGTAACTGCTCACAAGGTGTAATAGTTTTAATTAGGACTTTATTTTCATTTACCGCTTTACTTTTCAAGGGTTTGTTTTTGGCTATGTAAATACCCGAAGCCTTGTAATAGCGTAGTTTAATTTCCACATTTTAAATTCCGCAAATATTTAACTGTTAGATGTATGATATTAGGATGCATGACAAGAATGTATGTGAAAAACTTTAAAACAGTTAGATAACCCTAACATGTGCAAAGATAAATAATCTAAAATTGAATCACTCGCACATGCGCACTCCTAGGGTACGCTCCCACTTCGGTTGCCTTCGGTAAACGGTCATTGAGTATAGGATGCTTTAGTGGTCGTCCTTTTGTCCAAAGATCAAAGTTGCCTCGGAAAGGTTGCCTCGGATATTGTTGCCTCGGTAATTGATCTAAGACATTAGGGTTATTACTAAGACGTCTTAACATTGCTTTACTGACCGTACGTCCCTTTCGAATTGACCCTCAAAACTCCAACGACGGTGCTACCTACACGCTAATAGTGGGATAGCGCTGTCTAAAGGAAACAAAACATAGAACGATTCTTTTTTTGAGTAGGTAGATTAGTTCTTAAGTACTTGCTCAATCAAAACAAACTTTTTTCACACTTACACTCCTTTACAAACAAAGTTTTCAAAACACTTCATTACACTCTTGAAGACAGAAGCAAGAGTTAAATCGAAGTCAAAACAAAAACTTATCAAACCACACAAGCACACAAAGAAGCAATTTTGAAAATGATGAGCAAGTACCTAAGAGCCCGTAGATAACTACTGATAGAAAGGGTGCTAATACCTTCCCTTTCTATAATTTACCCCCCGTACTCAGAAATATGTCAAAAAAGGAATTTTTCTATGCTTTTTTCCTTTCCTTGTTGGATAAAATAAAAGACGGTGGCGACTCTTGCTTACCGCGACATTTTGCAAACACAAACGCAAAACGCAAACCAGCAATTCCTTAAAAAAGGGAAACACGTCCCGGTTCTGGCCACCGTATCACACTTACCCACGTGCAAGTATTTTTTTCATTCATTCGCTCACACGTGATCTTCTTTGGCTCACATGCGAACTACTTAGTGAGTTTTATCGTCCACGTACCATTAAGCTCCTATTTTCATAAATAAAAGTAACCAATCAATAAATATTTTCCGTAGCCAAACTACGAGGCTCTGACTTTCCCATTGCACGATAGAGTACGTAAGCACAAGATGCGATGTCTTACTGAGCATAATAATAAAATCCAAAAACATTTCTCCTTTATTTTCTCTTTTCTTGCATAATAAGTATAAGATTGCAAATTATCACGCTAACACTCGAATACATGCTAACTAAATGGTTCACATCGAGTTCGATGGATGTGAGGGGTGATAATACCTTCCCCTTGCATACCCGACTCCTGAACCCTCTCTTGGTTGCGATGACCATTTTTTTCTTTAGTGGGTTTTATTTTGTATTTTCCCTTTACTCTTGGAATAAATAAATCTCGGTGGGAATTTCATTTTTTTCCGAGTTGCTTAAAGAGGAAACAATAATAAGAACATGTATAGGATAAGTCATGGAAAAATAGGTTCATCAAAATCATTTACTTTCTCCCCCCTTTGTCATTAATAAAAAAGACTTGAAAGATTTAAAACCAAATTAAGACTTTCATTGATTAACGAACTGATAAAGATACAATGTCAGAAAAGAACACTAGAAAATAAAACTAAATACTTAAAACCCAAAAGGTATACTAAAGGTTTATTATTTAGGCGGAGGGGACAATCTTGACATAATCACTTCCAACATGCTTGTAATCTTAGAATTTGTCCCAGCTTGTTCTATGAACCTCTCATCCTGGTTATCCAAACACGTTCTGACAACAATGCTCTCTTGCATGAGCTCTTCCAAAGTCTTCCAAAGAATTGAAGGCAATTCTTCAGACCTAGAAGCAGAGGGTTTCACTTCTTCAAAAGTTGTAGTAAGCTCTATTGAAGGTCCAGATGAAGTAGAATGACCAAAAACATTTGTAGGATCAGGTGTAGAAGTGATTGTAGGTTAGTGATTCATCTCAGAAACAACTTTTTAGGACCATCCAGAAATAGTAAAGTTCCAGAATAGGTTGAATAACTTCTAAAATTCCAGCTTGAAACCTCTTTGCAGTATCCTGAAAGGATAGATTTTTCAACTCCAGAGTGTGTGAAATCATCCATCTTCTGAAATCTGTCCAGACTGCATCACTCTGTCCAGACTGACTTCTGTATCAAAATGCATTATTATTTCATCCATTTGAGGGGGACGTATGTTGGTTCTTAAGAAGGTTTGGTCATAAGGGGTGGAGCAGGGACATGGGTCTCTATCAGGTTTAGTAATGATCTTCAGAATTGCTTATTCAAAATCAAAGAATATTTCCCGAGGAGTAGAAGTGAAGTCAATAGCTTTTGGGATAATAGGAATGCTGATGACATTAGGTGAGGTTGGTTCAAATGACATTCCCTTAGGATCAGAGGCAGAGACACTGCCAAATACATAGTCAACTGAAGCATCAAAAGTCTTCATCAAGTTAGTGTCAATTACAGGTATACATATGAGATTAGAATGGGTTTTTAAAAAGGGTTCATTTTGATGTTGATGAGATGGTGAAGGAGGGTCATCTGTTAGTGAGTTTAGTTGATATAAGAGAGTTTGTGGAATTAGATTATGGGATGGTTCAACAAAGGTGGTTAAATAAGGGTTGTTTTGGAGAGGATTGTTGTAAAGGGTTAGGAGAGGACATAGATAGTTTTGGTTCTGGGTTAGGTGGAAAGGTTTCATCTAGGGTAGTTTCTAAAGAAGTGTCTTCAGAAAGTTTTTGGATTTGGTAGAGATGGCTGAGGATCAAAATGTATAACTACTGAAAATTTTGGATTTTCTTGGATGAGAGATGTCTTTGTTCCAACAGTGGAAACATAAGGTGGTGGTGGAGTAGATGTTTGAGAGGGACTGGAAGTTGATGAATTAAATAATGCAAAATGTAGTAAAGAAGTCTCAAAAGTGGACTTACTAGTAACAGTGTTATGAGAAGAAGGATCTAACTCCATAGCTTTAGAAACAATTTCAAAAGCTTCAGGAGCAGAAGCTTCAACTTCAGTTTCCTTCACTGGTTCCAAAGTTCTTGAAAACTTAGATTTTTTGGTAACCTTGGACGATTCAGAGGGTCCTTGAGCAGCAATATCTGGGATAGCTTCCAGAGGTCTTCTAGTAGAAGTACAAATCTTTGATTTCTTAGTAGATTCAGAAGAACCATCACCAGCCTTGTTCTTAGAAGCTTTTATTTACCTTTTGAAAAGAGTTTCAGAAGGAGTATCTGAAGACCGTCTTGATTAACCATAACACGTGCAACACCAGAAGATGTTCTCTCATAAGTAATTGTCTTTGAACTTTCTATAAAACTGTTGAAATCCGGAAAGTCGGCAAGATCCAATATCCTGGAAGAGATTGAGTTCATATCCAGAGCATCAGGAATAACAACAACTTCAGAAATCAAAGCCATATTCTTCAAATTCCTGCCATCCAGAGGCTTTCCAATCTCAATAGCTAACTCCTTAGATAGAACAAGAGATTCCACAAGCTTTCTCTTCACACGAATTTCAGAAATGATTCTTCCCATGAGATCCAATTCCTGATCTTGGATCCACCATCTCTTGTTTCCTTTATAATTTCAATTAAATACTTAAAAAGTATTGCTGGCAGATTCAACTTGATTACATAAGCAAGGAAGAACAACATTGACGTAGTTATAAGAGCTGTTAAAGGGACGATAATGTATACAACCCAAAATGTTTCTAAACCAAATTCTCATATTGTTGTGAAGATTCTTAGCATGACGAGAGTCCTCTCCATCTTGAAAGATTGTAGCACCAATCTTAGTCAAAATTTCCAAAATGGTAGGCATTCCATAACACCTCTTACCAGATCCATCGTGGTTAAGAAGTTTTACAATTGTATCTTCGATAATGAAAATATTCTTCCCCATAACACATGAGAATAACTTAACACTTGATTATACATGAGCATGCATCCAAAAATCCTTAACCAATTCAAGACAAACTAGGCCTTTTAGACGGTTGAAAAAATCTTTTCAACCTGAGTCTTCAGTTTAGTAGTGAAATCATAACCATTTTCCTAGAGGTTTTCAAAATCAACAATTAACTCACAAAGAACACTCAACTCATAAACAAGAATAAGGATATGAAGATCTTGAGTTCCTTCTTGTTGTTGATCATTAGATTGTTGTAGTTTAGACTATGAGAATGAAGATTGTTGAGCAGTTGAACCTTGTTGTTATTGATCAGCCATGGCAAAGAACACGAAAAGGGTTTGGTTGTAGAGAAAACTTTTAGGTTTGAAAAATAGAAAGTGTGGGATGAAAGGCGTAGTGTGTGAAAAGTGAGTGAAGTGGGTTTAAGTAAAAAGATTAATTGCAATGATTAAAAAATTTTGAACAGTGCAAAAAAAAAAAACTGACAAGGGGGGTAAGGCGAAGAGATTTTACCTAATCCCAATATGAATTACTTCTCCCAATGTGTCACTTCAAGCGTTTAGCGTCTTTAGAGAAAATATATTTGTCTTATTTTGAACAACACACCTTTCGCTTGGTTGACAAATATTAATGAAGTAAACTCTTCAGTGTCCAGAAGATAGAACTTTTTCAAAAGAAAAGGTTTCGACCTAGGACACTTCTGATACATGAGACCTTCACACTTTATAAGACTAACATTTTAGAAACACCAAATCCTAGAGTCTCATTTTATCATTATGAGAAATAACCATTCTAAGATTTCCATATTTTTCATTCTGGGCATAACACCAGTTTTAAAATTTTTCAGAATGAAAACAAATCTATTTCAGCAAGAGGTTTTGCAAAGTTATCAACCCATTGATGATTTTTATCTATAAACTTTAAATTTTAAATTTTAAATTCCCTTCTGAACATTCGTATAAAGTGATGTTTAATCTCAATATGCTTATTTCTAGAATGTAAAATGGGGTTCCTAGATAAACATATAGCAGAAGTATTATCACAGAGAATATGAATGATACTCGCATATATTTGAAAGTATTCTAGCTAACTTTTCATCTAGAGGATCCGAGTGTTGAATCCAGAAGCTGCAATATACTCAGCTTTTGCAGTTGACAATAGAATTGTTGATTGCCTCTTGCTAGACCATGAGATCAAATTATCTCCCAAAATTTGACAACTTCAAGAAGTGTTTTTCTCTCTAGTCTATCTCCAGCGTAATCAACATCACAATAACCTACTAACTAACTTGTAATCTTCTAATTTTCTATAACACAAGCCAAGGTTAGTAGTACCTTTTAGATACCTAAAAATCCTCTTAACAATTATTAAGTGTGATTCTTTAGGATTTGATTGGAAGGGAGAACATAAGTAGACATTGAATAAAATTTTAGGTCTAGAAGTAGTCAAGTATAATAGAGAACCTATCATACCTCTATACAACTTTTGATCTACCTTATTACTTACCTCATCCTTCTCTAGAATACATATTGAATGTATATGAGTCTTTGCAATCTTGTATTCTGACATGTCAAACTTCTACATAAGTTCTTTGGTGTACTTGCTTTAATGGATAAAATCCCTTATGGGTTTTGGTAATCTGGATTCCTAAAAAGAACTTGAGTTCTCCCAACAGAATTATCTCAAACTCGGCCTGCATAGACTTAGCAACCTCCTTGCATAAGGTAGCATTCACATAACCAAATATAATATCATGTACATATATTTGAACTACTAGAATATCATTTTTGAATGTTTTACATAACAAAGTAGTATCCACCTTTCCTCTGGTAAAATCATTTTCTAAAATAAAATTGTTTAGTCTTCCACACCATGCTCTAGGAGCTTGTTTCAGAACATATAATGATTTCTTAAGTTTGAAAACAAAATCTAGATTTTTGTAATTTTCAAAACCAGCAGGTTGGTGTACATATGTTTCTTCAGTTATGTAACCATTTAGAAATGCACTCTTAATATCCATCTGATACAAGATGATGTTATAATTAACAATGGAAGAAATTAAGAGACGAATAGACTCTAACATGACAACTGGTGCAAAGGTTAATGTATAGTCAATCCCTTCTTGCTGACTATAACATTGTCCTACCATTTTACCCTTGTTTCTTACCACTTCTCCTTTCTCATTGAGCTTGTTTTTGAAAATCCACTTGGTTCCAATAACATGAGTTCCTTTGGTTCTAGGCACAAGATCCCCTAAATTATTTATGGAGAATTGATTGAGTTCTTCTTGCATTTCCAAAATCCATTATGTGTCAAGAAGTGCTTCATCAACTGATATAGGTTCTATGAGGGACACCAAACCCATAAGTGTCTCTTCATAAGGTTTAAAGGAGGACCTGGTTGTAACTAGTTCAGTCTTGTCTCCTAGAATAAATTCTTCAAAATATGAAGATCTTTGTTTGTGCTTCCTCGAAGGTGTATGAGCTTCAACAACTTCTAGTTGAACATCTCTATAATCCTTTGTCTTAGTTTCTTTAGTAATAACTTCTTCACCTTCAGGGCCTGAGTAGGAGATTTCCAAATCTGCAAACTTTTCAACTATCTTTGACTTTTCAAGGTTAAGCTTATCATCAAATTTATTATGAATTGATTCTTTAACAATTCATATTTATGTGTTATATTCTCTATAGCCTTTTGAGAATTCAGAGTATCCTAACATTAAACACTTTTGTGCTTTAGAATCACCCTTTTTAAGACTTTCCTTAGTGTTCAAAATAAAACAATCACATCCAAAAGGATGAAAATATGAAATGTTGGGTTTTATGTTCTTCCCAATTCATATAGAGTCCTATTCAGTCTTATAGATATCATGTTCTTAATATAACATGTTGTGTTAACTGGCTCAACCCATAAGTGCTTAGCCATGTTAGTCTTGTTGATCATGGTTCTGGAATTTCTTGTAAAGTATGATTCTTTCTCTCTATAACTCCATTTTGCTATGGAGTTCTAGGGCAATAAAAATACTGGGAAATGCCATTTTCATCAAAAAATTCAAAATGTTTATTTTCAACCTCGCCACCATGATCACTTTTGACTTTAACAATTTTAAAATCCTTCTCGTTTTGCACTTGAGAGCAAAAGGTAGAGAACACTGAATGTGACTCATCCTTGTATCTGAGAAACTTAACCCATGTCCATCTATTGTAGTTGTTGTACCTCAAAATTTTCCCTCTCTTTTCTCAAGACATTTCTCACAAGGATTTTCAAAAGTTCAAGTTTGCACAAATACAATGGACTTTTAATGCCCCATATAGTTTCCATGGATCATATGGGACTTTCAAGCATCAGGTCGAAGAGGAAACTGTCGAAAGGGCAAAGCAGATAAAAAGGTGTGCATATAACTATGTCAAATTCAAAATCTAGTTCAGGTTGTTCGAACAACATGACTGATCGAATGAAGTGGTTGGAGGATTTTGACAAATCAAAGAAGAGCAAGCTTGTTTTGATCCACAAGCTTCGATTGGTACATTCAGATGAATATGGTCCATTCGAAGAACATACAATTGGTGGATTTGAAGAACATACATTTGGTGGTCCACTCGAAGAACATACAATTGGTGGTCCATTCGAAGAACATACAATTAGTGGTCCATTCGAAGAACATACAATTGGTGGTCCATTCGAAGAACATACAATTGGTGGATTCGAAGAACATACATTTAGTGGTCCATTCAAAGAACATACAATTGGTGGTCCATTTGAAGAACATACAATTGGTGAATTCGAAGAACACACATTTGGTGGTCCATTCGAAGAACATACATTTGGTGGATTCAAAGAACATACAATTGGTGGATTTGAAGGACACACAATTGGTGGTCCATTCGAAGAACATACAATTGGTGGATTCGAAGAACATATAATTGATGGATTCAAAGAACATATAATTGGTGGTCCGTTCGAAGAACATACAATTGATGGATTCGAAGAACATACAATTATTGGTCCATTCAAAGAAAGATAATTGGTGGAAACAAATATTGTCTTGTCTTTTGATGAGTTTGGTCGAAGGCTGCTGAACAAAGTCCTATATGCTGCCAAGCCCAAGTTTGTTGTATTGTCCACATAACAGCCTAAAACCATGTCAAAAACAATCTGTTGTACTGCTATGAAACAACCTTGCACCAAGTTGCCACAACACTCCAAAACTGCTTCAAAATAATCATGCTATGCTGCTCCTAATTTTCACCAAACTAGCATATAAGAGCTGCACCTCAAAAGCTATGAAAAGAACATACCCATACTGTTCAAATTTCATTTGTTCCCCCCCCCCCCCCAAAACTCCAGCAAGACTCTTCTATAAATAAGTTGTTTCCACAACACACAAAGGGAGGCTTTTGGAAAAGAAAAAAGAGAGAGGAGAGAACACAAGGCTGAAGCCTTAAAACACTCTTAAACCCAGAACCAAAAACAACACATTTGTTTCTTTTCTTCGAATTCAAGAACATTCATGGTAGCAACTCAAGTTCGAATCACAAATTCCATCTTCAAGGTAAGTCTTATTGACTTTAAACCCTTCGTTTCAAGCATCATTGATGATTCACTTTTGAAGATAACATGTAATAATC